CAGCACCAGAGAAAGGTCCCAAGAGGGTATAGAGGGGGGGCGAGGCGGATTCAGTCTCCTCGCTCCCCTCAGGAACCTGACAATCAGGTCGTGCTTTCCCACGGATGTCCCATCCACTGCATCGTGATGTGCGGCAATAGAGGCAACAAACACTTTGAGGGTGGAGGGAGACAGCCCTCGCTCCAACTCATCTTGCAGGAAAGAAAGCACGGAACCGATCGAACACCTTCGGGGGTCTTCTCGGTGAGAAAAACACCACTCAACGAACAGGTTCCACTTCATGGCGTAAGTATGCCTCGTAGAGGGTGCTCTCGCAGAAGCGATGGTGTCTACGACAGATTGAGGTAGACCACCTAGAACCGTCCAGGGACCAGACATGGAGTTTCCAGAGGTCTGGACGCGGGTGCCATACGGTGCCCCATCCCTGAGAGAGAAGGTCCTCCCTCAGAGGAATGGGCCAGGGAGGGGCTGTCGAGAGGAGCAAAAGTTCGGAGAACCAGGTCCGGTTGGGCCAATAAGGGGCAACTAGCAAGACCTGCTCCTTTGCACAGTAGCTATCAGTAGGCTCACTGGGGGAAACGCATACTTGCAGAGGCCCCGGGGCCAGCTGTGTGCCAGTGCATCCGAGCCAAGGGTGCCCTCGGTCAGGGAGTAAAACAACTGGCAATGGGACGAGTCCGGAGAGGCAAACAGATCTACCTGTGCGGCCCCGAAGTAGTCCCAGATCAGCTGGACCGCCTGGGGATGGAGTCTCCACTCTCCCTGGGCCACAGGCTGCCGTGAGAGCTCGTCGGCGGCACGATTGAGCAGGCCAGGAATATAAGTGGCGCGAAGCGACCTCAGATGCTTCTGACTCCATAGGAGGAGGTGGTGGGCGAGTTGCGACATACGACGGGAGCGTAGACCACCTTGATGGTTGATGTACACAACGGTCGCAGTGTTGTCTGAACGGACCAGTACATGCATGCCAAGCAGCGGCATTTTGAGGGGTCTTAAAGCAAGGTGTACTGCAAACAACTCGAGGCAATTGATGTGCCAAGATCCCCGTCCAGATCCCCGCTACTGCATGCCCGTTGTACGTGGCCCCCCAGCTGGTGTTGGAGGCATCTGTGGAGACCACAGCATGCCTGGACACTTGTTCTAGGGGCACTCCGGCCCAGAGAAACAAAGGGTCTGACCACGGGCTGAGGTGATTGTCACATGAGACATGAAAGTACGCGTCCTTCAGATCGATCGCTGCAAACCAATCTCGGGGACGGATGCATTCGAAAATACGTCTCTGCGTTAGCATTTTGAACGGAAGCTTGTGAAGGGCCCGATTCAAAATTCGCAGGTCCAAGATTGGCCGTAACCCACCACCTTTCTTGGATACAATGAAGTACGGGCTGTAGAAGCCGGTCTTCAAATCGGCTAGAGGAACCGGCTCTATCGCGTCCTTCGCTAGTAGGACTGCGATCTCCGCGCGCATGACAGGGGCACGTTCGTTCAACACCGAAGTGTAACGAACTCCGATGAACTTGGGCGGACGCCGGGCGAACTGAATTGTGTAGCCGAGTCTGATGGTATGGAGGAGCCAGCTGGACTGGTTGGGAAGCAATTTCCAGGCTTCCACAAACCGGGCCAGGGGGACCAGGGGCACCACAGACGTACCCGGGGTGGGGCAGCGAGGTGGAAGACAGGGACCCGGCTCGGAAGGCCCGGGGGCGGCCCGAAGCCGGGTCTGAGTGAGTGGAGCAACACTTACCTGTCTCCACAAGGCAACAGGGGATGCGTGAGAAGGCGGATGACCAGGTCCTCGAACGCATCGTGCTGCCAGCTGGCGAACAAGAGGGGGCTGAGGGGTGCAAGGCTGATCTACAGGGTCGCACACCGCCAGCCTCACTCTCTTGGGACCCAGGGACGGAGGAATTTGCTCTTCTGACAATTTGGATACCAGTGGACTCCGGGGAGCCGGTGGCGGAACGGTAACCATCTGAAGAGCTCATCCCCCAATCCCTGGGTGGCCTGTCTTACTCTTGCCACCTGGTTTGGCAGCGCCTGAGACAGGCTGGGCGGCCTGCCTGCGGCCTGCTCCACGCTGAGGCCTGGGTGAAGGCTGCTGCGGGGCCTCAGCAGGAGCAGAAGCGGCGGCAGGGGGACGCCCTCGGCGACGAGCAGGCGGAGGAACTGCCACTGGCGACGGGGTGAAGGCAGCAGCTGGCCGCCGGGGCAGGATGTGCCGGATGGCCTCCGTCTGCGCTTGAGCAGCAGAGAACTGTTGGGCGCAGTTCTCCACCGCGTCGCCGAAAAGCCCAACCTGGGAAATTGGGGAGTCCAGGAACCGAACCTTGTCCGCATCCGCCATATCAAACAGGCTGAGCCAATGATGGCGCTCCTGGACCACCAGGGTGGACATCGCTAGACCGATCGCGGTGGAGGGTTCCACTCGAGCCCGACAGCCTCAGCGGCCCGTTTCAGCATAGCTGATAGCTGTGGATCTGGCTCGGGCAACGTTACACTCCCCGAAGCGGATAACGCAGCCGAGTCGTCATCTCCATAGATCAGCTCACCCTCCGATGCTGCAATCGACATCCTGTCCTCTGGAGAAACCCTGGATGAAACGTCTGGTCGATCCATTACAGATGGACCAGCGCGCTCAACAGAGCACTCCACCGGCTGCGGTGTAATGGAGGAGTGATCACCCATCCCACACGGTACCCGGGGGTGGGGCATGGTAATGGGGACTCGCGCTTCACGGACGAACATGAGCCATCCACAAAAGCTGCTTCAGCGTGCTGTAAGCCCAAACACGTTATGCAACAATTGTGACTGTCAGAGGGGGACAGGGAACGACCGCATCCAGAAACGCACGGGTGGAATGACATCTTGAAAAAGACGCAAACGCACCCGTGATGCTCTTTCAGGATTTGAAAACTCTCACCAGTGCTGGAGCACACAGGGGAATGATCGCGGCGACACTGACAGGGATGGTGCAGCCTGTACCAGTGAAGCACTCACTCTCTTTGCCCTCAACCGGCCGTCAGACAAACAAACACACAAACAGAAATTTGATGCTGTTAAAACAGCAGTTGAGAGCTCTGAGAGCTCAGAGAGCTCGTGACCACCGCTGTACTTGCGCTCTCCCACCAGCACCGGTGGGAGAGTAATAACATTATTCAAGAACCACTATAAAACCAAACCAATCTGTGTTACCTTAAATTATATTAAGTTTATCTCTGTAAAGCTGCTTTGAAACAATCTATATTGTTAAAAGCGCTATATAAATGAGGATGACCTGACCTGACATAGCAGCCGCCGAGCGAACACACAGAGTAACGTCATAACATAAATTTCAACAGACAAATGTAATTGATAAAACAGCGTTGCATTACCCCACATACACTTGACCGGAAGAAGTGGAAGCGGCGACTTCGGCATAATAAAAGCTCCACCGCTTATCTGGTGATTCTTGTTGGTACAAGCATGATCAAATCCTTGTTTTTAGCATTTATTTAAAAATGTAATTTTTGATATTTAATATTAATTAAAAAAAATGTATGTTTGGCCTTTTTTTACGATAGAAATGCTTACAGCCACTGTAATTACTTGAAGAAGAACATGTGGACATAAAAATTCAAAACATGCAAACTCAGAGCGAGGGTTTAAACTTTTATTTTGAAATTGCGATGAACAACAATTTGCATATTTAGAATTCTCCTGTGTAAGAGACGTTATAGCATTATGCTATGCTGTATTATGATTTTTAAATGGTTTATTAAATCGTGCTGCCGTAGAAAACTGTCTAATAATGCGGTTCATAGATTCTCATCCGTGGAATGCTCCACTTCTGGTACTGACAGCCAGATATCTTTACCATGGTTCAAAACGCAATGCATAGCACATTAAAATAATTGAACTTATGTGACTTAAGTAGTTATTATAGGTTAGCTTATGTCAAAAATGATTTATGGCCCCCTTGATTGATGGATTTGACAGCTGTTTCATGACCGTACATTGCTTTTTATTTACTAAAAACCTATTTTGTGACATTTCATCTGATCAGAAAAGTTTAAGAGTCTATGACTAACCAGATAGACGCATAACATCACCTCATTAAGTTCAACACATGTTAAAACTTTGCTTTAAAATGCTTAACATCTAAATTTAATTTATTTTATAAGCTTTTATTTGTCATCAATGCTATTTCTTTAAACTCATTTTGTTTCATTCTCCCCAACAGACAATATGGATGATGCAGTGCCGGCTGAAAATCACGGATCCTCTGTTCATAATTGCAGCGTTTTGTGAACATTATCCTGATATAATAAAACTTTCCCTGAAAACATTCCTAACAGTCACACAAAGCAGATTGCCGGGTCGTAAACACACATCATAAACACACCGGAACCAAGCACGGCCAAAAGGGCACACAAAACCACCTGTTGTCATAAAACCCTCCCCATGCTCATATCCTGTCATAAAACCCCTCCCCATCCTCATATCCGGTCATAAAACAGCTGTCAAATCCATCAATCAAGGGCCATAAATCATTTTTGACATAAGCTAACCTATAATAACTACTGACATAAATTGTATTAGTTTCAAATAAGGCAGATGAGTTGCTGGTGGTCAAATTATTAACGCGCCGTTGAACACATAATTATTCTTACCAATTAACTTCAATAAACAAAACTTTCACATGTTTGTGAACATACATATAAGCTACCTGAAAGTGATGCTCGGGATTCATCTTGGGCTTTTTTTTTGCTTCTCTTCTCAGCGCCAGACAGCTGTTGTCTTTTCCCAGGCATAGTTGACACAACTTGGCAGCCAGCCACAAACAATGAAGTGAGCTTACTGCATTCAACGTAAAATGCATTTTTTTATATTTATGTTTATATTTACAGTATGTTAATATTAATATAGAATGAAAGGGGACTCACAAACACACGTGCTCAGTGCACCATATTGGAGACCAAGCCCCACCCCATTCCCATAGAGTAAAAATTCAAATAAAAATTTTAAAGATGTAAATTATTTATTTTTAAAAATCACTTTTAAAAGCATAATAACTTCAGTAGTAAATCTTATTTATTTTGTTTTTATTTAAAATTATTCACCAATTCAGGTGAAATTTATCCCGTGAATTGAACATCTGTTCCAATCAACAAGTAGTTCTGTGCAAAAAAAAAAAAAAAAGCAAAGTAAATTAGTACTATATAATAATAATTATTCTACTTATTATTAATGTTAATGTTATTATTATTACAACATATTAGGGCAGTGTATAAAATTTTAGAACACTAATGCAAACCTTCAAAACCTGGAGTTGACTGTTTACAAGCTGCATCTTTCCAATGGCAGGAAGTGGATAACCTTCCTGTAAACGAGCTGAGAGGGAATTCCATGATTAAATAACATCTCTATAGCTTTTCACACTGCACTTAACCCTGGGTTGTTGTCGTTCAAAACCCCGCTTTTAACTCTGGGTAAAGGAACATTTCACAATTATTATTTAGAGGTGGGGTCAGCACCGTTTTTGACCCAGAGTTATAAAACCCTGCAGGGTGCTGTGTCAGAATGTTACGGATATTCTTAGCAACCGACAGCCAAATTATGAGAAATGTGAAACGTGAAGCAAGATAATTCAGGATTCCGTTCACTGGGGGTTTAGAATGACACAGGGTTAATTATTTCAAATCTGAAAAGCCCTATTGTTAAAAAGTGAACTGTAAGCACTTATAATAACAATAATAGGAAAAAAACATCTTACCATTAATCTTGGGAATCACAGCAATTTTCAAGACCATTGTGAAAATATTGTCAAGAGATGTCACCTGTTGATTAAAATTTTATGATGATATTCTGAATGATTGCAGAAAAAACTTTTCATAGTTTGCAGTTCTTCTTACCTGGAATGGTCCCACATAGCTTTTTGATAAGCTCATATAAATTCTGTTTTAAGAAAATGATGCCATTTGTATAAATCCTTTAAGAACTTGAGAACACATCCAGTTGTATATGGATAGACTGTGTATGACTCCAAAACTCACTTGTTAAGGGTTAAATTTCCTGCCAGTTTGAGCTCAGTCACATATATGTCGGCACTGACACTGCCCTCCTGTTGGTTGAAGGGAAGATTAATTGAAAACATTATAGTCATCTTATTTAACTCAGTTTGTGGTTATCCCTTCTCTTGGTGTATCTTACCAGATTGAGGACAAAGAGTGGAGATAGTGTGCGGTTGGGCTGAATAGCGTAAGCTGTCACTGTACTGATTGCCTGGACAGTCATATTGTTCGGTTCCAATATAATGATTGGTTCCTTAACTGTCTCAACCAATAGTTTCATCATCAGACCAGGATACATTTTCGCAATCTGAAATAAATCCCCTTAGACTTAGTGTTTTTTGTGTTTTGAATTTTATGACTGAACGTGGCTATTTATTTTCATACTTGAGGAATGAATGCTCCAAATGTCCTTGTGTTAAGACGAATTGGAGAACCAGAGGGAATCTGCAAAAAAAAAAAAACATATGGTCTCTTAAGTAGCTGCTCTTAGTTCCCTCTCTAATGAAGACAAGCAGATCATTCTTCATCTAGACCTGGCCATCTTGTTCTGTCATCATTGAATTCTATAGGGTGGTCACATCTGGGGGAAGACACAGGCACAGACCCTGTCCTGGCATCAGCAATGACAGGGGGTGGGTGATGACAGAAAGAATGTAAGAACCCCACTGGACGACATTGCTACAAGCATCAAAATGCCATGAGCCATGGCATCAGCCAGGAGCTGATCTCTTGTGGCTGCAAGAATGATTGTAGAAAGCCCTGGCCCACTCTTTCTGTCACAAACTTGGCAGAAGATATATTGGCTTTTTTATCTCTCTCTCTGTCAGGTTGAGTGAAGGGAGCGAGGACTCAATTGCAGGAGAAATAAGGGCTTTATTAATAAAAGTGAAAACACAAACAAAAACTACCCCATGGGAGAAAACAGGACAGAAAGACTTGACACAGCACGACTTGACTAGAGCAGGGAAATACTCAAGGTAACATTTAGTGACGATCCAGTACAGGACTGAAAACAAAAGGAGAATAAATAGGGAGAGCAAACAAAGCAGGTAATGAGGGAGGGGCAAATGAACCAATAATCAGGTAACAAGATGGGAGGGGCTAGACAATCGACAGGAGAGCACATGGCACAAGGAAACATACATGACAAGCCATGTGCTAACACCAAACATGACTTGAACACAAGCACATGGCCAGTAAAACGTACTCGGTTACTAACGTAACCTCGGTTCTCTCTAGAAGAGGGAACGAGTACTGCGTAATATCTTACGCTAGGGGAAAACCTCTTTTCCACGAGATATTGAAGCCAAAAATTATCCTTAATTTTGAATTAATGTAAAACGCGTTGCGGCAGCCTGCAGACATAGGCAAGACGGCTCGCGTGCCTATTGGCTGTCCTGCGGCAACTGCAGGACAGCCAATGTCCTGCAGTTGCCGAGAGGTCCTTGGTGACGTCAGATCCAATGGGGGTGCTTGAGAGAGGTCCTTGGTGACGTCAGATCCAATGGGGGTGCTTCGCGCCCACTATGTCACGTCCCGCCGAGACGGGCGTGGCCTGGGCCTATAAATACAGCTCGATGGGCTGATATAATCTGTTTTTTCATCGCCGAAGTGAATCAGAGCGTGTTGCAGGCACGGCAAAGATACGCAGTACTCAGTCCCTCTTCTAGAGAGAACCGAGGTTACGTTAGTAACCAAGTACGTTCTCTTACGAGAGGTTCTCTCGTACTGCGTAATATCTTACGCTAAGGGAACACAGTGTAAAACGCCGTGCATGCTGGGATCCAACACCAAAGTCCCAAGGGCAGGTGCCCGGGGCTCATATAGTGCATAAACACCAGGGACTCACAGAGAGTCTGAGAAGAGAGCTATAAGCGTCATTCCCAATAAGTAGCATCCTAAGGGAGCTAATCACATCAACAGTGTTCCACATAGTCAGGGTGAAAATGTTCGGCCTGAACTGGGTAACAGTGTGGGTCTTACTCATTGCCCATGGAGTTATTTTATCGATCAGCGAGCGGTGCTCAAGCGGTTTCAGTATTCTGAGCCGAAGCAACGGGGCAGACAGTACTGAACTTTAGACCGAAAGTAGTTTAGCCTGTAAGGTAGGAACCTCTAGGTTATAAAACCTTATAAATCTAGACGGGGAGTCTAAGGTAATCCCACTAGACCAAGCCCACGACAAGGCCACGCCTCTTGTGGAGTGCGCTCTGACACCCAAAGGACACTGCGAGCCTTTAGAAGTGTAGGCCAGTGCTATAGCATCAACTATCCATCTGGATAGGCTCTGTTTCGATGCGGCTAGTCCCTTAGAACGTCCGCTGAACGAAACGAAGAGCTGCTCAGTCTGTCTGAAAACAGACGAGCGAGACACATAAGCTCTTATTGCCCTGACTGGGCAAAGGAAGCTCGCGTCCTTTTCCTCGTTGTAAACCGGCAGGGCAGACAGGGAAATAACCTGAGCCCTGAACGGTGTGTTGAGGGATTTAGGCACGTACCCGTGTCTTGGTTTGAGTATGACTTTTGAGTCATTTGGCCCAAATTCCATACACGTCGCGCTTACTGAGAGCGCTTGTAAATCCCCTATGCGCTTCACTGAAGCAAGAGCCATAAGATACACTGTCTTGAACGAGTGTGCTCTAGCCTGCGTGATCGTGTTTAACACTCCCTCCGGGAGGTTAGCGGGTACCCGTTGATGGCCCATGCATGTAGGGGCCACAGCTCCGGGCGAGGATGCCAAATCGAGCCCTTGGCTTGAGAGAGGAGGTCTTTCCTCATCGGTATTGGCCATGGGGCAGTGCTTGTCAGCTGCATCAGAACTGGGAACCAAGCCTGTTTTTTCCAGAGCGGAGCCACAAGTAGCACTGAGCATCCGTTTTCCCTGATTCGTTCCAATACCTGAGGCAGGAGCGAGACAGGGGGAAAGGCATAGAGTGGGCAGCGGGGCCAGACGTGGGCCAGCGCATCCCTGCTCTTGGAGAAAAACTTCGGACAGTGAGCGTTTTCTTGGGACGCAAACAGGTCTACCTGCGCTCTGGCGAATGTCTCCGACAGCAGTAGGACTGTCTGCGGGTGCAGAGACCATTCTCCTGCTGGAACATTGTTTCTGGACAGTCTGTCTGGTCCCAAATTCAGGTGACCAGGCACATGTGCTGCTCTCAAGGAGCGCAGATTGTGCTGAGCCCAGACCAGGAGGCGTTCCGTCAGCCTGTAAAGGTTTCGGGACCTGACGCCACCCTGGTGATTTATATAGGCCACCACTGACATGTTGTCCGAGCGGACCAAGACGTGGTGATTTTTTATCTGGGGACAAAAACGCCTCAGCGCGTTGTCGACTGCCATCATTTCCAGACAGTTTATGTGTAGAAGCTTCTCCCGTTCTGACCACTGGCCAAAGAATGGTCTGCCCTCGAGCAGCGCTCCCCATCCTGAGGTGGAGGCGTCCGTGGACACCACCTTCACACTCGAGGAAGTCCTCAGGTTTACACCTGACTGGTACCGGTCGATTGCTCTCCAAGGTTTTAGAGCTGTAACGCATTTCTGATAGACCTTGAGGCGAAACAGACCAGAGGCCCATGCCTGAGGTGGTACTCGCGCTTTTAGCCATAACTGCAGCGGGCGCATGCGAAGCAGACCCAACTGGAGTACTGATGATGCTGAGGCCATGAGACCCAGCATTTTCTGAAACCTTTTGAGCGGGACTATAGTGCCGCAGCGGAAGGATTTTGTGATGCGCTGAATGTTCAGTCTGCGCTCTGGCGACAGTCGCGCTATCATAGACAGCGAGTCCAGTTCTGTGCCCAGAAAAGATATTCTCTCACTGGGAGACAGCGAACTTTTCGCCCAATTGACTTTGAGACCTAGATTCTCGAGATGTTCGAGTAATATGGTCCTGCGTTCTATGAGCTCTGAGTGTGATCGAGCTAGAATCAGCCAATCGGCCAAGTAGTTCAAAACTCGCATGCCCCGAAGTTTCAGGGGTGCGAGAGCCGCGTCCATGCACATTGTAAATGTACGGGGTGCTAGGGACAGGCCGAACGGTAGGACTGTGTATTGATATGCCTGGCCCTCGAAGGCGAATCTCAAGAATCACCAGTGACGTGACGCTATTTGTATTTGGAAATACGCGTCCTTCAGATCTATTGACATAAACCAGTCCTCTTGGCAAATCTGCGCGAGGATTTTCCTGGTTGTGAGCATTCTGAACTGGCATTTCACAAGCACTTTGTTCAGCTGTCTTAGATCTAGAATGGGTCTTTTTTCGGTACCAGAAAATATCTGCTGTATAGACCCCCTTCGCTCTGAGCTTGAGATAAAGGCTCTATGGCCCCTTTGCTCAATAGTTTCGCTATTTCGGCTCGAAGTAGATGAGCTACTTCGGTTTTTACCGTAGTTTCGACCCGCGCCGTGTAGCGGCGGGGACGTCGAGCGAACTGCAGCGAATAGCCTCTTTTTATAATGTTCAGCACCCATTCTGATACCCCGGGAAGCTTTGCCCATGCATTTGCATGAATAGCTAGGGGTAGAATGAGATCTGGGCTCTGGCCGCAACATAGTGGCGACCGGAGAGCTTCGGTGTGCTGTAACGTAAACGCTGTGCTTGCAGCGTTTGAGGTTGGGGGCGCGCCGATCACGGCGGGCAGCCTGGCCGCACTCGACTCCCTTATAGCAGTTTGCTGAGAGAGAGAGCTGACTCTATGTGTGTTGGTTTCGTTTTTACAGAAACCGTGGGACATGCAGTGTGTAGTGTTTGTGGGCACTGGGTTGTGGGCACATTCACTACATTTAATGCACAATGAGTCGATTTTATTTGTGCGAGCCCTGTACTGTGGTGGGCTGTGCTTGTGTGTAGGAATGAACACTGGATCGTGGGCATTTTTATTACACTCATAACACCATCGGCCGTGGCCGGAATACCAGAAATTACATTCTTTATGTGATTTATCTGGGTCGCCGTGAAAACGGCATTTGTGTGCAGGCAAGCGGGCCGTGGTACCGGCTTGTTTACTGCAGAATACACTGGAACAGTCGCATTTTCTGGAACTGAACGAGCGAAAAGTTTTGGTGGATGTCTGGCCACGGCGAGACTTAAACACTGTCGTTTTCCTAGGAGGGCTAGGAAGACTTTGAGGCCTCTGGCTTTTGCCGGGGCCCACGGAGAGGGGGGCGGCGGCCGGCAGAGCGAGAGCGTGGTCTCTGGTCCCGGGCTTGACGGCGCTGTGAAGCGGCGGCGGGCGGAGGCTGTGGCTGGGAGCTTCGAGCAGACGGCTGTTTTGGGCGACATGCTGCGAAGCTAGAGCGCTTTGGAAAGAAGTGCTTCATAGCCTGTGATGTCTTCTCAACCTCAGCGAATCTATCCGTGAAATATTTGACGGATGATCCAAAGAGGCCAGCTGGGAAGATGGGCGCGTCGAGGAACGCGGAGCGCTCCGAGTCCGGCATCTCAGATAACGTCGGCCATAGGTGTCTCTCAGCAACGGTAACAGAAGCCATGTTCCGCCCAATGGCCTGTGCAGCGGATTTCGCGGCGCGAAGAGCCAGGTCCGTAGCGCTCCTCAAATCCGGCACGCTGAAATCCGGCACACCATCGAGTGTAATGCCGATACAGCCTGCCCAGCGGCGGTATAAGCGCGGCTGTGCATAGCGGAAGTAGTGCGGCAAGCTTTAGAAGGTTGCACCGTCTTAGCTCGCCGTCCAGCAGAGGGCAGGCAAATATGGGCCGCTACAGCTTCTTCTACTGGAGGAAGAAAGTGGTATCCTCTGTCTTTAGCACCGTCCACCACGGAGAATGCTGCTGAGACAGAGGTACGCATTCTGGCTGAGAAGGGGGCGTTCCAAGACTTCGCGACTTCTTCATGAAGTTCAGGAAGAAAAGGCGCGGGCCTAGAAGGCGGTGGAGCGCGGTCCCTTTGCAGGAAACATCCATCCAGTCGGTTGTGCGCGGGCTGCGCAGGCGCCGCCCACTCAAGGCCGAGGCTCGCCACGGCCTGTGAGAGCAGACGCATCAGCTCGGATTCGATGCTGGCCCGTTTCCCTGACGACTCGCGGGCAGAGGGGGGGAGGTCCACAGAGCTTGCCCAATCCTCACTGTCCGACGCCAGGATAGAGCAGGATAGCTACAGATGCAGCTATCTCGTCGTCATCAATGGCGGAAGTGGCGGCGGAAGGCGGCCGTTGTCCGTCGGTGAGCAACTCGAGTGAAGCTGGTAAAGCTGGCGGGCGAACCGACGAGCTTTCGCGGACTGGAGAAGGCTGGGGACCCGCTGAGTACGGCGCTTTTTATGGCACGGCACTATAGCGGGAGAAAGTGCAGACTCTGAGAAAAAAGCCAGGTGAGTCCTCAGAGTCACCATAGGCAATAGCTCGCAATGATGGCAGCCGCCGTCAGCGAGCGCGAGAGCTGCATGATCCTCACCCAGGCAGGAAACGCAGATGACATGGCGGTCCCCGTCGCTGAGTGTGGCTCGGCACGAGCCACAGGAACGAGGCATCTTTAAAAAGACGCTGCTCTTTTAGATAGAGAGAGTATGAGTCGCAGTGGCGAACACACACTCGGCAGAGTAAAAGGATATAAACGCCGGAAAGCGTAGCAGGTGCGGCGAGATGAAGGCCAGCGTCTTCAGATGCAAAGGCTCGTCCCGCAGAAGGCTTTTTCTCAGACGGCGCGGCTTCTTCACTCCGGATCCAGCGATGCATGAGCTTCGCTGAAGAGATGAAAAATCAGATTATATCAGCCCATCGAGCTGTATTTATAGGCCCAGGCCATGCCCGTCTCGGCGGGACGTGACGTAGTTGGCGTGAAGCGCCCCCATTGGATCTGACGTAACCAAAGGCCTCTCTTGATAGGCTGCTGCAGTTGCCGCAGGACAGCCAATAGCCACGCGAGCCGTCTTGCCTATGTCTGCATGCTGCCGCAACGCGTTTTACATTAATTCAAAATTAAGGATAATTTTGGGCTTCAATATCTCGGGGAAAAGAGGTTTTCCCCTAACGTAAGATATTACGCAGTACGAGAGAACCTTTCGTAAGAGAACAAATCACAAGCCATGTGCTCACACAAAAACGAGACATGAACACACAGCCAATGAGAATACTCATAAGCCACGTGTTCACACAAAACATGACAACACGAAAGCACACAGCTAGTGTGCTATACAGTACGAGACAAAACATGACATGAAAGCACATGAAACAAGGCACACAGACAAGACAAAACAGGTGTGTCAGGGCTCTGTCACAAAACCAAGAAATAGACTAGACAGAAGTGAGTGTGAATCTGCCTTCGACCTCGTAGGTGAATGATCCACTACGAGAAGAGAGAACTGTCTGTCTTGCCTGCACTTTTTTCACTGCTCCACTCACTGCATCTGCCTACTCTCGCCTCAATTTCAGGTGAGGTGAGGCGCATCTCAAACGAGCCTATTGCTTGATAGACCAGCTTTAACTGTGCATTGCTTTCTTTTGAAAATAAATACAAAATTCAGCATTAACATTGGGTATGGAGGTAATTTCATGATCTGCGTCAAAGAATCCTTCAAATTTTACATAAGGTGGGTGCCTTTAATTTGGATTACTTTTGGACAATAAAGCCCCTCCAATATATAAAATATAAAAATATATATTTAGTTTAAAAACAGATGTTCTCATTTTGAACAGTGGTTACAGTGCTCAGGCCCATTCCAACATGATATGTGACATTTTAATGTGCTTGTCCATTAATTTAAGACTCAAACTGTAATCTTTGTGTGCCAAAATCACACCCATCACTTCTTGACAATCTTCCAATATTTAACTTGCAGATCTGAGTGACATTTAATTGGTATCTCACCATGTCATCGGTGATGTAGAGACGGAGGGCGCTAGCACTGTGGTACACAAAGCCTGCTGAGTTGATGGAGAAGGCAGATACTCCAATATACAGCATATTAGTGTCCTGATAAGGCAATGAGAAAGGTGTTGGGGAGAATGGGGGCTCCTTGTGTTGTCCAATGTTATAGAATTCACCCTATAAAGTGTGAAAACATCTAAATTTAGCAATAAAATCGTTTTTTTAGAGAGAATTTGACATGTTTTAGAGAAATATCACACATGGTAGAGCTTAAGATTACTTTTAAATCCAAGTCAATTGAAGTATTAGACATGACAGGAGACCCCACCATGGAGTAGTCAATTTCAGCATATTGGTCAACTTTGGCTAAAACTGGAGGGTCAACAAGAGGAAATTATTATTATTATTTGGTGTGTACTCGAGAATTGTATTGAATAATGCTGGTTTTCATACCAATGCTGAATTATTAATAAATATTAATTTTTCATATCACCATTTAATGTTTTCAGGTGGGGGTTCATTTCAGCAATGGAGTCAGCCACCAAAGGGCAGATCTGAAACAGCCGATAGATTGTTGTATGTGAAACTCTGGTATGCCCTTACATTGCATCTCAGTTCTTGTTTAATAGTACACATTTAGTGGGCATAATAGAGAGCATTCACACAGCCTAGATTCCTTACCTGTTTCTGTAGAGCATTGTGTAAAGCCTTATTAATGAAGGAACTGAAGAGGTTATACAACCAGCTGTCATAAATACAGGAAATAATAGAGCAGAAAATTAAAATGTTTGTTCTAACACATTCATTAGATGTAAACTCTTCAATTGTCATATGTTTTTTTGTCAAATAACATGAATTCCTGATTTTATATTATTATAATTATTAATATTCAACTATTACATAGTTAGTATTTAGATTGTTTAATCCAATTACTATAATTTATCAGTTTATCAAATGCCCACTTATAAGAAGTTAATATTGGCCTGTCCTGCCTCACTGAACCTTTCTAACTCTCTTGCATCAAACAGTTACAAATAACTGTTTCCTACATCATAACTGTTGCTGCATTACCCCCCCCCCCCCCCATTAAAAAATAAATGTTCCTTAAAATTGACCCAACTACAATCCTATGATGAAAGATACTGTAAGAAAAATTATATTTTTTTATTTCTTTACATAAAGGTTGTACAACTAAAAAATAACATGTCACCCAAAACCAAATCTAATCTTCCCCTTTTACTTAAATAATTTAGAAAACAGCCACAGATTGCACTTCCTCTAAAATATTCTTCTTTTTACATGTAAATGTAAATAATTAAATAATATAAAAAAGAACAGTTATTTTGTGGAATGGATCCTTCTTCATTAAACTTTTAATTAGTAAGAGCAACTGTAATGACATATTTTCCTTTCATCTGAATTTTGAAGCTGACATAATATGGTAATTTAATATTCATCTTTGACTTTGACTGCTGTGTTGTGTTACCTGGCCCCGCCATGAAATTTGACGTTGACACTTCCCACAGTTGCTGCACAGTTGGTCATGCTGACTGTTGGGCGGCCAGTGTCATCACTCATGACTGCAATAGTGGTGCTAATGGTCAGTTCACTCACAGCCAGATCAAATGATCCACTGTCTTTTCTTTGTGCGAAGAGATCAGATGTTTAGCATTTTACATTTTTTTCCCAGAATTTAATTAATTTAGCTTGTGAGAATAAGTAATGTGGACACTGTACTTACATGATCCTGAGGTATTTGACTCTCCAATTTCCATGCAGATTGATGTAGGCGTCGCCAATTGAAAGTATGACTCCAGTGTCAGGAACTAACCCCAATGTTGATTTGGGAAGTCCCAGGTTTAAAATCTGCATCCTATGATGTATACTTGTGCTATTACCAGCAATCTATCACCAGCAATCCATTAACTCCCCCAGCCCCATTTAATTTATAAAATGTATTTATAAATTAAATACATAAAAATGTATATACATTTATTGTGGGATCTCATTCAATGCTTTTCAGAATCTTTACTTTTTTAAATAATTTATTTTTAAAATGAAACGATTTTAATGCCATTTTAAATATTTTACATTTATAGAGAAAAATATATTAATCTATTTATCAAAATAAACAAAAAATAGTACAAACTTTGCTTAAGTGATTATTTTGAACAAGTATTAACTAATTTTTCAAAGCAAGGGCTAAAGGTACACCTTAAGAACAATGTGCTTTTCACTACTCCATAGTGTGTGATTACAGAAAAAATAAATATGTTTGTATTGAACATTAATGGAGCAAAAAAATTTGTGTGAAAATAAATCATAAGAGTTGTTTATTTTAAATCTTATAAATGTACGAGATGGCAAGGTGGGCCTTTTAGCCTGCCCACTGGTCCAACGACGGTTTCTAATAGAGTGGGTGAAAGTTTCCTGCGCATTCATCTTTTCAATGAGGCAAAGTAATTTAATTCCAATTAAACTTTTATCTGACTCCATTTTATCATGACCTCGAATTTAGGTTAAAATGCCAATTGATTTATCTAAACACTTGATTATTAATTAAACTTTTTTTAAATTGCACTCGTTCATTCGGATTCCTATAACACTTCGAGTCTCGCACCGGCTGGGTATACGAATCTCATAATAACAAACTTGTCAGTCTTGGCCATTAGACAGAGGCAATTGACTAATACCCTTAGTTGCCGCACCATGCTTGTTTATTTCTAAAAGTATGCTATTTAGTCTCCATAGATCTGTACACACTTAATAAAGGTAATTAAGTACACTACACTACATCTAATCAGAGATCCTGACCATTACCATAGAAATAAGCTGACCAACTTAACTTCCTCTAATGGTAACTTTATATAGAGTGGATCCAAGAGTGGATGTCTATTTATTGTAGCGGAAGCGCAACAAATTAATGCTTAACGAAAAACAAAGTGAAGATGATGAACTAACAAGGAAGCACAAAAAATGAACATACTTACACAAAAGTAAATACAAACAAGAGTTGGTTGTTAGCTCACGTGGAATCAAAGCAACCAAAGTCTGTTTTCAGGCCTTCCCGCGCTCAAAAGCGGAAAGTTTTTCTTATATTAACCCGGGTCCTAAAGCTCTTTCCTGATCATAACCCTTCATTTTCCAGTGATATTCTTATGAGCTTTTCTCTTTTGTAATGTCTCTCATCCATCTCTCTTTTTAAAGTCTTTCTTTAACCCTCTGGTTATCTTTGGGGTCTTTTTAACCCGCAAATGACTTTTGGTCAAATTAAAAAAAATGTTCTCTTTGTCCAAATGGTATGAAACTTTCTACAGCTCTTAACACTTCATAGATCTACAAAAGAAAAGAAAAATTGGAATGATATCTGTTATTATGTTGCCGTGAAAAAAATAGTCACACTTGTTGTCTTCGGGGTCCCTGGAGACCCCGCATAGTAAATATATAATATTCATCATCAAAATCAGAAACAACGCAGATCACATGGACAGAAATGAAATGGCACACTTCCAACAATGTAAAAAACATCCACAATGCAAAATTATCATGCTCGCCACACACACACACACACACAACCACACGTACACATACACACAGAAATACATTTGTAAGGCTATAAAAAAAGTCTTATAATTTGTCAAATAAAATGCAGAACCACCACAAATATAAATTGGTGACACTGACACAACGAAAATACACACACACACACACAGAATGTGTGTCTGCAGAAGTCATGCAACGTACTACGCATACTGCCTGCAGTGCACTGACTCGTGAACACCTCCAGTGCACCACCAATTGTTGTTCTTATTTGTTCAAAAAACAAAAATTTCCCAATCAGTTTTTTTAACAAAATAATTTTTATATTACAACCATTTTATTTTTTTACTGCTTTATTTGATCATTTGTTATTGCTGTTCAGTTCATTGCACTTTTGTTTTTTTTTCTTAATATGTAATATAACTGTTCATTTCTGTTATTTTTTGTTCTGTTACAGTTTGTAACTGAAACGTTGATTAAAAATGATAGAATTATATTAAAAACAGATAATTGAAATAAATGATAAAATCTAAAGACTCCAAGATTTTTTGTAACATCTTGTTCAGGTTTGATTCTAATCATAAAGTAACATTATTGAAGAACTTTTTTCAATACAAAATATGCTAAACTTAATACAAAATATGCTAAACTTTGACCAAAAGTATATAATTCTTTTTTATAATTTTGATTTTAAAATATTTATATATGAATCCAACTCAATCCAACTGAATCCAACTTGTGAAAAGATGTATTTTGGTTAATCAAACAGCAAATAGCATATAATGGAGCTCTATAGCAATATAGTGGTTAAAGTGAATTTTTTTATTTTAAAACTTCATTTTCCAAAAAAAGGGCAAAAATCTTACATTAAATCATGTACAATTATCCATGTTATCCCCATAAATGAAAGTTAGAAATCTGGGTCCTTTATAAAGTGAATTTTACATAAAATGCTGTTTTTTGTAAAAAAAACTATTTATTTAAATATTTATTTATTTATTTTTAGAAATTTAAAAAATATCAAAAATCCTCCAAAAACTGCACAAATGTTGAGTAAAAACATTAATAAACAGAGTAAAATTACATTTGTAAAAAAAATTTTATTATACTGTTACAAAATGCAATGTTATTGTCTGGGGTCCCTGGAGACCCCAAAGATAACAAGTGTAGACCCTAAATGAAGATAATCAGAGGGTTAAATCTCCCTCTTGCTGATAATGCTGATTGGCTACACGTTTGTTGTGCCTGGTTGTGTCGGTCCGACTAACTTTCAAACAGAGTTTTTTAAATATCGCTTACCCGCCCCTTTACTATGTGATATTTACCATCTGAATGTCATGTCAATAAATGGAAGAGTCAGCCAGTTGTTTTATTATTATGTTAATTATTGTGCCTTTAGCCACAACAGCAGGGGCGCCTTTTACCCCAAATATCATACTTTTACATATTCTTCTTTTATTGAAAAACTGTTACTTTACATTTGAACAAAATTAAATTAAAAAGACCTTTGTTTCAAAATATATTCAATAATTTTAGCTATTCTCATTTGCTAATTAAATCTACAACATTTTTAAAAAATATAAAATATTAGATCAAATTAGCACAGTATCAACTTTGCCCACGATCACGTCAAGGATCAGCCAAAATTCCATGTGCATCTTGAAAAGCGGATGTTTTGGAAGTGCTACAGCAAGTTTTTGTGCCATCTAGTGACTGAGAGGAAAATATACTCAAAGACGCCTTTTACCCTGGTGTGCCTTTTGCCCCGTTGTACCCCACTTGTATCAATACTTTTATAATGCCTTTTGCACCATGCTGATAAGCCTTTTACCCCTTATGTTGGGTAAATGGCCCACATTGCCACCTCATTTAATTCTAAGATTTATAAACAAAACAAACCACTTTTATGATTTATTTTCACACAACAGTTGTTGCTCCATCAATGTTCAATAACAACATATATATATATTTCAGTTTGTTGTTTAGATTCCCACCACTGTTTTCTATGGTTACTGTGATTAGTTAGTTTGATTCAGGTGTGTTCACCTCATTATATTTAGTATATAGGCTAAGTTCATGTGTGTTCCCTTTGAGTTTGTTCGGTCACGTTGACGGCTAATACTGTCTGTTGGGATCGCTACCCATTTGGATTATTATTAGTAAAGTTTGTGTTGGAATTTTATTAATCTGAGTCTCAATCTGTCTACCGTCACACGTTTGTTACACATACACTATGAGAGTAGTGAAAAGCACATTTTCTTAAAGGGATAGTTCACCCAAAAATGAAAATTCTGTCAGTAATTACCGTACAACGCAGCGCTTCTGTGTTGTATGTCACACGCATCACACACGACCAGCGTCGGCCAATAGTGAGCCTACGTGTGACGTACAACACAGAAATGCTGCGCAGTTACACTACGTGAACTAAGTCGAGGTCCACAGAGAAGGAAATTAATAGTTGAATAAAGTCGTTATTTTTGTTTGTTTTTTTGCGCACAAAAAGTATTCTCGTCGCTTGATAAACTTAAGATTGAGCCACTGTAGTCACTTGGACTATTTTAACGATGTCTTTAATAACTTTTCTGGACCGGCAAGTTTCAATCCCTTAGAACCCTATGGAGGAGTGAGACAGCTCTCAGATTTAATCAAAAATATCTTAATTTGTGTTCCGAACATGAACGACAGTCTTACGGGGTTGGAACAACATGAGGGTGAGTAATTACTGACAGAATTTTCATTTTTGGGTGAACTATCCCTTTAAGGTGTGCCTTTAGCTCTGTTGTCCCCTAATATTCAACAAATAATTCTGTGAAAACTGCATCATCTTTTCAGGAAGTTTGCCAGGCCAAGTAAATATATTTTATGACTATACCTTATTTAGGGGACAATTCTAAAAAAAATCATTTAAAATCATATGAAGTACAAATATAACCAAATGGGAGTGACATATTTCATAAAATTATTTTGATTTTGAAGTTGTCAACCAAGTATAACAAGTATAACTTTTACAACCACGTATAACTTTTACAATTACATAGTAGGAACTTATGACCATGAATTAGAAGGGACATTCATCTTACCCTGTAAAACTATATTGGACCTTGCCAATAGGATCCACCTTTTCTGTGCCACTTATATCTGGCACTTTAATACTTCTGAGCTTTTGCTGGATCGAGGCAATTCCAATCTGTCGACCTGTATTCAAAATAAAGATATTTAGAAACTTTACCTCAGAATTAGTGTCTTGAGATTTGGTTTAAATAGCTACCTTTAGCTCAAGCAAATTATTATTATCTCATGGGGATGGATTGTTATTCCTACATCCTTTACATCCTGTAAATTTCAGAGCTGAAAGCTTCCTTGTTAGTCCAAAAAATGCTTTTATTGAAAAACCAAGCTCCAAAATAGACTCTTTTTGGATTTTGTCACATTATGACATAATAGTGTGACGGGAAAACACCTCTGTAGAAGAAAATCAATGCCAACTTCTATATCATTGTACCACAAGACTGTAGGGTGTCCCATTTGTCATTTTAAATTTCAGAAGTGTGCTATGCGCCCTCAAGGCTAACTTTTGCTGAGCCCACACTGAAGCGAAGTTGGATAGAAGTCTGCTCCCGAAGGGAGTGCTCACGAGCAGTGTTGGGGAGTAACTAGTTACATGTAACAGCGTTACGTAATTTTATTACAATATAATTGTAACCCGTTACATTTACTGAGAAAAAATGTGTAATTAAATTACAGCTACTTGTGAAAATATTACCGATTACATTTGGGGTTACTTCTGAATATTTTATGTAAAAAGCTAGGATATGTTGAATAATATTAATTTGTTGCTTTGCCTGTTTTTGATGTGCACGATGCTTTCTGTCATCAGGCCGTTTAGTAAAGCGATGCTATTCTGATGCTCAGTACCGCCGCTCTCTAAACGCAGATTAGACAGTTTGCGTAGTGCACAAACTGTGTTGTGAACCATGGTAAAGATTGGCTGTCAATACCAGAAGTGGAGCATTCCACAGATGAGAATCCATCCAATTTTGACAGAATTGTTGGACAGCACTCAACAGCTAAAAAAGCAAGGCTGAGCAAGGGCTATAGAGCCCTATTTTAACAATCTAAGAGCATGGTCTAAAGAGCAAGGCGCAAGTGCACTTGGGGCGTGTCCGAATCCACTTTTGCTAGTTTAACGACGGGAAAAATGGGCGTCTAAAGTTTAGACCATGCGCTGGACTCGCCGCCCATTTTTCCCGTCGGGTTGTCCCTATTCTCTTTAGGTGTGTTTTGGCCACAACGTGCAATAAACCAATCAGAGTGTAATTTCCCATTCCCTTTAAAAGCCAGTTGCGCTTGTGCCATGGCAGGTTGCTACTGTATTTACATGGTGGAATTTGCAAGCGGAAAGACTAAACGCGTCTCCAGAGAGCAAACGGATCTGCTCATGCGCGAGGTTAAAGCATGCAAGCAGATCATCTACGGGACGAACCCAATATTCATCTTTTAAATTGTAATCCTTTTATTTTTAATATTTGGCTAGTTTGTGTGCTGCTGCGCGTCCCTGTGTGTGTAATAAGTGTACGCATGCTGTGGACCCGCCTATAGGCGCATATTACTAATGCACTTTTTTTAATAACAAAAAATATTGCGCCATTGACTTTAGACTTTAGGTTTCAGTTGGTCAATGGCGCAGTCTATTTCAGTTGCCTCAAAATAGCAACGCACCAGCAATGCGCCTGAACACACCTTGTTTTCAGACGAGCACCCATGGATGCACCCATGGGCGCAAATGCATTTGCTATTTAAACAACGTGGCGCAGGACGTGAAAATGATAACTGCGTCGGGCTGAAACTAGCAAAAAACACTTGTGTCAGGCGCCGCATTGCACCGAGTGTATGATAGGGTCTTATATGTGTGTGTGTACGTGTAATGTGGTCAAGACTAATAGTTTGTATTAATTTAGTTAGGTCCCCTTCCACACATACTAAAGGCATATCAAAAATAGAGCTGATCCCCTCACAGTTCAGTCCTGTACCTCGTGGCTGTCCACTTTCATACCAATGTCCCCCTTTAGCTACAGATGTTCCTGTTGTGCTTGGTTATCAGTTTGGCTGTATTTTCTTATTTGTGCTCACACACCATCAATCACTTCATCTGGAGTCTAAGGTTCATCTTTATAGTTCATCTTGTCAGATTGAAGAGGCCACAAGACAACAGTCAAAATGTACTGCTTGGGTTATGCTGTTATGGTGCTTTTCCACTACATGGTACCAGGGCTGGACTGGGACAAAAAATCGGCCCGGGCATTTTGGCCCAGACCGGCCCACTACAAAAGATCATAAACACAACCGAACTTTGCACGCCCTTGAATATGTATACCAACTCCTATTAAAACCAGTAATGCCATGTAATAACTGAATCAGGATTTAGTGAAATCTGTGGTGAGTGCACCTCTGTCCCTCTAGGGGGGTTCAGGGGCATGCTCCCCCGTAAGAAAATTTAGTGCTTTTTAATGTTAAATTCATCAATCTGGCACACTTTGAGAGTTCAAAATAAAGAGCTCCAACCCATATTCAGTGTGCAAATTGAACAAAGAAAAACTCAAAACTCTTTTAGTTGTGATATAGTGTCTGTATACATTACACTACTATATAGTTATAATATTAATCCTATGGCAGTAATAGCCATATGTTGTAAAACAAATGCACTGAAAAATAAAAGCAACTTTCATAATTAGTTTCGTACTAATTTCTATACTTGAAAGAGATAAACACATGATCTTTTATTTTGACGGAAACGGCATCAAGCTTTTATTTTGGTGAAAAACATGGTTTACAAACTCGTCTCATTACAATTCTAATAAAATGCGTAATCATCAAATATGCAGATGTGGAAATAATGCGTAACTGGGTAGTGGGTTCCAACATAGCCTAAGTGTTCTGAAAGTAGCCTAGTTCTGCTTACCACAGTTCTCTACACTCACTTATTTCTCTCCTTATCCTCCTTACTATCCTCATCAGCCACTTGAAGGGCCTTTGAAGTTTCTTTTTTTTTCACGCTATTTCACTGCACATTCCTTGCGTTTCTTCTCCATCGCTCTGACTATTTTGACAGATACACACTGACACTGCTCGCTCACTCACTCACTCGCTCACTCAAAGCTATTTAAAGATGTGAGTGGACCAGCCCAGTGTCAATCAAGAAAATAACCAATGGGCCGCTGATCTACGCGTTTCATCATGCGCCGGTCTGTGAGGGAAAAAAAAATACCTACGCTGACTTTACACCGGCACAAAGCCTCCCAGAGCCGCCAATTAAACAAAACTAAACGCAATGGGCCGCCGATGTACGAGTTTTATGGGCCGTTCAGACAAAAAAGAAATAATAATAATTAAAGTACGAGATGTATCGGCCCACAAAGCACGTCGGCCCACCGGGAAAATGCCCGGTATGCCCGATGGCCAGTCCAGCCCTGCATGGTACGGTTCAGTATGGCTCGGTAAGGCTCACTTCGGCTCGCTTTAAATGGTACCACCACTGTTGAGGTTCCAAGCGTGCCGTACCGATACTAAAATGTGACGTTAAAACACTACAGATCACCTATAGGTCAGAGAGAATCATCACTACCAGCGTCATTGGATTTGCAACACGAGACACCAAACCCGCTAGATTTAAATAGTCGGCAACAGCCACCGCAGTATTCACACAATCTTTTAAACAACTTGTTTGAAAAAAAAAAAAAACTTGAAAAAAGAAATGGCTGAATCGTGGTGACTGGTTGGTAGCCGAGGAGCGGATCCAGCGAGAGCTGGATGGGGTGACCAGGAATGAAAAAGTTTTTCAGCAACTATAACGATCAGTCTATAATCCCACCCAATTTGAAGTGCTACTAAACTGCAGTGGAAAAGCAAACCGAGCCAAAGCGAGCTGAGCCGAGTCGTACCACGCAGTGGAAAAGCAAAGTGTGCTGAGCCGAGCCGAGCCGCGCCGCCGAGCCGAGCCGCGCCGCCGAGCCGTACCATGCAGTGGAAAAGCGCCGTTAGTGTCCTACCATGTGGTTTTAATATCAACCCAGAAGCACCATGTAGCAAACTAGCTCTATGAAATATTAATAATCAATCATAACTTGTTATAATTGATTATGAATATTTGGATCAGTTAATCGGGTTAACTTGATGTAGCTACATTAACATTACAACCAATTACTCGGTTCATCCCGTGAACACTCAATATTGGTTATTAATTAATTAATAGAAATGTACATTTCCGGGGCATGGGAAATGTCTTTCTTACTAAGTACTACTAAGAGCAAGTAGTCAAGATCTATGATTAGTGACTCCAGACTCCAGAATATGAGCTTGAGACACAGACAAAGTTGTGATAAAGTCGTCATATCATGACGTGTGATATGAAAAAGACTTTATTAACTAGACTAAACATTTAAACTACTCTAAAATACACATACATACATGCATACAGTTTACCAAGGGAAAGAGAGCTGAAGCAGAATACAGGAAAGGAAGAAGTTATAGCATTGTTTGATGTTCAGCAGATCAACAGCCTGAGCAAACCATCAGTTTAGTTCTAACACGCCCTTCTTAAAAAGGGATAAGTATGGAATGATATTCCGGACATTATTCAAAAGGAATTGCAAATTGTATTTGCAATTGCGTTTTCAATTTGACTTCTAGTTCAGCATCATCTTCATGTTAGGACTTCTCAGGAAGGACCGAGAGAGTAAGAGAGCAAGAGGCCAAGAAGACCAGAGAGGACAAGCGAAGAGGACAAGAGAGAGCTGATCTTGATCAGTGATTTTTAAAGCGTGAAGACGTCACACCCTCTGGAGGTGCGTGAGCCAATGCGAAGCTGCCCCTTTGGAGGGAGTTTTTACAACCCTTTTACGACCCTTTGTTTTCTAGTAGGGTATTTGAATGTTTAATTTCATTGGGTGTTTACGAAAAGAATCTTCAAGATTCTTATAATACTAATGCGTCATAGAGAGTGTCACAATTCCCTGCCCATTCTTTTGGGTCGTAAAACTTCAGTCTTACTGAAACAGGTCCTTCAGTCTTGTCCTGTAACAGGACACCGAGTTCTGCCAGTGTGTTGGCTTGATTTGGGGGAAGTTTTACAGACCTTTGTTGGGATAGTGAGTTTGCTGGATTATTCATTAAATATAATGAATAATTTGTGTGTGTCT